CTGACACCCGCTATGACATGGATAAACCCTGAGGACATTATGCTTGAGTGAATAAGCCAGACTAAAGGACGGACATTGTATGATTCCACTTGTACGAAGTTCCTAGGGTCATTAAATTCATAGAGACAGAAAGTACATTAGCCAGGGGCTGGGAGAGGGGAGCCAGGAGTGTTTAAATGGGACATGGTTTCAGTTTGGGAAGTTTTTTTTTTTTTTTTTTTGAGACAGTCTCGCCCTGTTGCCAGGTGCGAGGCTGGAGTGCAGTGGTCCGATCTCAGCTCACTACAACCCCTGCCTCCCGGCTTCAAGCAATTCTCCTGCCTCAGCCTCCTGAATAGCTGCGACTACAGGCGCACGTAACCACGCCCAGCTAATTTTTTTTTGTATTTTTAGTAGAGACAGGGTTTCTTTTTTTTTTTTTTGAGACGGAGTTTCGCTCTTGTTACCCAGGCTGGAGTGCAATGGCGCGATCTCGACTCACCGCAACCTCCGCCTCCTGGGTTCAGGCAATTCTCCTGCCTCAACCTCCTGAGTAGCTGGGATTACAGGCATGCACCACCATGCCCAGCTAATGTTTTGTATTTTTAGTAGAGACAGGATTTCACCATGTTGACCAGGATGGTCTCGATCTCTTGACCTTGTGATCCACCCGCTTCGGCCTCCCAAAGTGCTGGGATTACAGGCTTGAGCCACCGTGCCCGGCTAGAGATGGGGTTTCACCATGTTGATCAGGACGGTCTTGATCTCTTGACCTCATAATCTGCCGGCCTCGGCCTCCCAAAGTGCTAGGATTACAGGTGTGAGCCACCACACCCGGCCCAGTTTGGGAAGATAGTAAACAGCTCTGGAGATGGATGGTGATGGTGGAAGCACAACAACATGAATGTACTTGATGCCACTGAGCTGTGCACTTAAAAAGGGTTAAGATGGTGTCTGGGCACAGTGGCTCACGCCTGCGATCCCAGCACTTTGGGAAGCCAAGGTGGGTGGATCACTTGAGGTCAGGAGTTTGAGACCAGCCTGGCCAACATGGCAAAGCCCCATCTCTATTAGAAATACAAAAAACTAGACGGCTGTGGTGGTGCGTGCCTGTAATCCCAGCTACTTGGGAGGGTGAGGCAGAAGAATCGTTTGAACCTGGGAGGTGGAGGTTGCAGTGAGCAGAGATCATGCCACTGCACTCTAGCCTGGGTGACAGAGAAAGACTCCATCTCAAAAAAAAAGCGGGGGAGATTAAGTTGGGTAAATATGGCATGTATTTTACCACAATCTTAAAAGAGGTCCCAAAGTTAGCAACTCAGATGTGGCTTTACAAGTGTGGCTGACATTGTCTAAACTCACCAATACCTGGGCTTTCTCCCCTTCCCGGGCACAGGAAAGACTCTCCTTGCCAGCACCCCTCGGCTAAGTGTGATTGTGTGGGCTGTTAGCTCCAGTGACATGGGAGTCTGTGTATACATCTTCCCTTGCCCTGTGGTGACCTCAAGTGGAGGTGGACAACTTGTAACCTCTAGGTGGCCCAGGTTGGCCAGACACCACATGGAGGTCAGTTGCCTGGGAGCAGCGCCCAGGCTGTTTTGACAACGTGGAGAGGAGAATACGTTTTTCTGTGTTGCATCAAGCCATTAAGATGTAGGGGATGTTTGTCACTGCAGCATAACCTGGCCTATTCTGACTGATACACCAGCTTTGCAGGAGCCACAGCAGATCTGGCACCCTGGAAATAGCTGGCTGGAGCTGCCAGGAGCTACAAGCATCAATGGTTCCTATTCTACTCTTGCAGACTCTTAGATTTAGGATGGTATCTAAGTATCTTTGAGCTGCCACAGTGAGGTTGTCACTAACTGGGTGTCTTAAACAACAGAAATTTATTCTCTTACTGTTCTAGAGGCTTGAAGTCCAAGATCAAGCCTCTCATCCAATATGGTAGGTGTTAGCTGGGCTTGAGGGGTCTGTCCCAGGCCTCTCTGGCGTTCCACCTCACTCTACATCTTTCCACCTTGTCTTGCCTCTGTAGCTGTTTGACTCCAAATATCCTTGTTTCTTTTAATGACAGCATGTTGCTCTGTTACTCAGGCTAACGTGTAGTGGCACGATCACAGCTCACTGTAGCCTCGACCTCCTGGGCTCAAGCCATCTTCCTACCTCAGCCTCCCAAGTTGCTGGGACTACACGCATGTGCCACCATGCCTAATTTTTTTTTTTTTTTTTTTTTTTTTTAAGAGGCAGGGTCTCGCCATCTTGCCCAGGTTGGTCTTAAAACTCCTGGGCTTAAGCAATCCTCCTTCCTCAGCCTCCCAAAGTGCCAGGATTACAGGCATGAGCCACTGCACCCAACCCAAATGTCCTTTTTTTTTTTTTTTTAAAAGACTCAGTCTTGTTCTTGTCCGCCAGGCTGGAGTACAATGACGTGATCTTGGCTTACTGCAACCTCCACCTCCTGGGTTCAAGTGATTCTCTTGCCTGTCAGCCTCCTTGAGTAGCTGGGATTACAGGTGTGTGCCACACAGTCAGCTACTTTTTGTATTTTTAGAAGAGATGGGGTTTTACCATATTGGCCAAGCTGGTCTTGAACTCTTGATCTCAGGTGATCTTCCCATCTCAGCCTCCGAAAGTGCTGAGATTATAGGCATGAGCCACCACGACTGGCCCAAATGTCCTCTTTTTATAAGGACATCAGTCGTGTTAAATTAGGGCCCACCAGACTCCAAGATGACCTGACCTTAATTACATATGCAATGACCCTATCTCTAAAGGTCACATTTCAAGGGATTGGGGATTAGAAATCGAATATATGAATTTTGGGGAGGGTGTTTCTCTTCAATCTACAACAGATGGCCTCACAGATGAGGATCTGGAAATGGGGCCAGGTGAGGAAGGCTGGCCAGGGAACCAGGTCACGTGAGGAGGGCCGGGAAGGGGCAGGTAGGGGATGATGGAACATCTCCAGCACATGGAACCAAGTGAGCAGGTCTTTCTGGCAGGAGTGGCTCTAGAAGGTTCTTGTTTTGTTTTGTTTTTTGGGACGGAGTCTCTCTGTTGCCCAGGCTGGAGTGCAATGGCATGATCTCAGCTCACTGCAGCCTTCATGTCCTGAGTTCAAACAATTCTCCTGCCTCAGCCTTCCAAGTAGCTGGGATTACAGGAGCCCACCACCAAGCCCAGCTAATTTTTGTATTTTTATTTTTATTTATTTTTATTCTTTTATTTTTATAGACGGGGTTTCACTATGTTGGTCAGGCTGGTCTTGAACTCCCGACCTCAGGTGATCTGCCAGCCTCAGTCTCTCAAGGTGCTGGGATTACAAGCATGAGACACTGTGCCTAGAAGGTTCTTAAGAGAGTAAGAGAGTCCCCATGGCCACAGAAGCTGGGTGTGTGAGTGCCTGGGTGTGTGTGTGTGCCTGTGTGTGTGTGTGTACGTGTGTTTATGTGTGTGTGTGTGCACGCCTGTGTGTGCGTGAGGGTTTCTACCTTCTGCTTCTCTCTGGGATGAAGGCAGACCACGACATGAAGAGAGAGTGGAGGGAAGCCGGGAGGGGGCTGTCAGGTTTGATCTTTGCAGGTTTGTTTTTGACTTGACGCTGGCTCTGGAAATGGATTGACGTTGGGGTGGGTGTGGAATGGAGGCTGAGAGGAGAGGGAAGCTTTCAAAGCTGTAGCCATGGGAAATGTTTTTATTTTCTGCTTGAAAGAAAATGCCAAAGAAGGATAAAAAGGAAAGAAAAAGGGGGAGGGAGGGAGGGAGGGAGGTGATGAGAGAGAGAGAGTGTGTGAGTCTGTGTGTGTGTGTGTGTGTGTGTCTATGTGTGTGTCGGGGAGAAAACCAGGGTGCTGTTTTGTACGAGACTTCTAGATTCAGAAATGAGGCTCGGCTGTGCATGGTGGCTTACACCTATAATCCCAGCACTTTGAGAGGCTGTGGAGGTAGGATTGCTTGAAGCCAGGAGTTCAAGACCAGTCTGTGGAACATCATGAGACCCCTATATAAATCTCTATAAAGATTTATTTATTTATTTTAAATTTCTATAAAACATTAAAAAAAAAAGCTATTGAGTTTCAGACAAAGTATTTCAGGGGCGAAAAGAAAAGAAAAAAAAAAGGCTGGGCTGCTGTGGTGGCACATGTCTGTAGTCCCAGCTACTTGGGAGGCTGAGGCGGGAGGATCGTTTGATTCCGAGAGGTTGAAGCTGTAGCAAACTGTGGTTGCACCGCTGCACTCTAGTCTGGGCGGCGACAGAGCGAGTCCCTATCGCAAAAAGATGAATAGTGGAGGCCAAGCTTGGTGGTTTGGGTTTGTAATCTCATAGCAAGACCCTGTCTTTCAAAAAAAAAAAAAAGGTGATTCCAAGGGACAGGGGATATTGGATTCTCCAGGTTTGCCTGAACCTGAATCTGTGTTAGGTTCTGTGGAATCAGACAGGACCTCCTGATTTCCAAGGTGGCCCCTGTGACCTCACCCCTCGACCCTGCCCCAGGCCAAAACAGGGCCTACTGCTACCCCTCTGACCTTCACTGCCCACCTCCTTCCCCATGCCAGGCCCGGGAAGGAAACAGCCTTTACAAGTGGCAGAGAGGGCTGATGGTTAGCAAAGTAATGGGTGGTGGGACATGTCATGGGAGTGCCCTTGCCTCTACCTTCTCTAAGTAGGTCTCAGCCAGGCTGGGGGCTCCCAGGGGTGCAGGGCCTCCACACTGGGGTCCCCAGCACGCTGCCTGGTTGAGTTCAGAGTGCCTGCTACTTCCCGGCTGCAAGGGCTTGTCGTCTTCTCACTTCGACTTTCTCATCTGTTAATTGAGTATGCCAGTACCCAAATCATAGGGTCGTCAATGCCTGCCTGAAGCAGGGGCCAGAGCTCACCCCAAGAAATTCAGATGGAAAAAGAGGAAATTGGGAAGGCTGTGCCTCGGAGGGGGGGTGGGACAGCCTGCATTTGGGACGTGTGTCCTGTGTTAGGGAGGTGGGGCTGGGGGAGGTGGGACGTGCAGAGGCACCTCCGAGGGCCAGGCTGGCCGTGGAATTTGCTGCAGAACTGCGTGCACAGACCTGTCCAGCAGGGGTTCACAGGCCTAAACAAAGCAGGGAGCTGGCAGGGAGGGGGTGGGGGAAGGAACCTCTAAGAGAAAGGACGGTCCCCTCCCGGGGCACCTACTCCCCACCTAGGTGCAGCGCCTCTTCACAAACACACGTGCTGCCAAGCCCTCCATCAGTCACTCTGGCACTGACATCCATAAATCCCATTAGTCACACCAGCACAAACACATCCAGTCCCATGCAGACAAAGACCGGGGGCCCCAAAGCGGCCGTGTCTGTCCCCAGTGGCTCTTTCCCCATGCCTAGAACTGTGCAGACACCACAGGCGCTCCATGCAATTGTTGAACCGACAGCAAGCAGCTCTCGTAATCATAAACGCCCCCTGACCGCATACAACAGGCCTCCTGATGACCACAGTCGCCCCTTTTACCCATTCCAGCCTCTCCCATCCCCTCTGGGTACACACTACTACGGCGGTAATCACCCACCAATGTCCTTGGCCATTCCCTCTTCCGCATCTCTCTGGAGAGGATAGGGCCGACACTGCGCCCTCCTCCCCTAAGCCTGTCCTCGGAATGGTCTGGCAGAAAAACCATCCCCCAAGGTCACCAGAGCTCTACAGTGGGCGCCCCCGAGAACTGATTTATTGGCGGTTTATTTGGAGAAACGCTATCGCTCTTAGATTCCGGAGGGGGAGGAAAACACGCTCGCGGTGGACTTTAACCTTGGGCTAAAACCACAGCGCTTTGTTTTCGGAGGCGCTTCCTGGGGCGCCGCGGCAGGAATGGGGCCTAGCCGGGGAAGCTCTGCGGGAATGTGGCCCAGCAGCCTCCACTCCCAGGTTGCACTCCCGCCTGCCCGGGCAAGCGTTCAAATTCCTTTGGGCCCAGGCGGAAGCCCTCCGTTCCTCTAACAGTGCTTCTAGAAATTCTAGGAAGGAGGCGAGGCTCCTTGAGCGAGGCGTCCTTGAAGCGAGGTTTCCAAACCCTCCCAACCTAAGCCCCTGGGATCTGCCACCCGCCGTTCGCAGTCGTGTCACTGGCGTGGTGAGGTTTTCGGGAGGCACCCAGGAAGGGCTGGATACTCCGGCTTCCGCGCACCTGAAGTCCGGAGCAAAACCCCGCTGCAAGTGGTTGGCTCTGAAGGCGCACATGGCTGGCTTGGCTTGTGCAAGCCACCAGCGCGAAGGCCTGTTCCCGCCCCTCTGGCAGAGATAAACTAAGCGTTATTATTGCAAATGCACTCTCTTTGGATCTGCTCCCCGCGACTGTTGCGGTGTCAAAACCGACGCCTCCACCAGGCAGCCACAAGGGCAAGACCAATTCCCGCTTTCCCCTTGGTTGCGCCAAAGCGCGCAGCCAACAAGGGCTCTAAGCTGGGACCCCGGTTGAGAAAGTCCTGGGGCATCCGGCAGCACAGAGGGTGGGTACCAGATGAGCCCCTGCCTCCACGCATGGTGCCCACAGTCACCCGCCCCCTTGGTGAAAAAAAAAAAAAAAAAAAGCCCATCATGCGCCCATAGAGTGCTCCGCGGAGGCGCAGGATGAAGGCAGGGTCCATGGAGAGGTGGCAAGCTGAATTCTGAGAAGCCGTTCTAACCCTGACCCTGGCGTCGCCCCTCCATGGTGCAGATGGCACCGGAGTTGAGCTCGAGCAGACAGCCGTGCTCCCATCCCAGTCCCACCGAGCCTTCCTAGGAGGAAATGCCGGGCCCTGTCGCCCCTACCCCAAGGCGGTGATCCTGTGAAGCTCGGGCCACCTCAGGGTCCAGCGCCCTCAGGGATGGATGGTGTTGGCACGGAGGGACGAGGCCGTTCCCTCTCTTTGGCAAACGGAGAAGCTCCTGGCGTGGTTCCCTGAGCAGTCTCGGGGGTCCCCAGCCCGTGATGGGGTGAGCAGGGCGTGTGGCGCGGCCCAGGACGCCAGGCCGGCCCAGAACACCCGCGCGTGAGCGGCGGGAAGGAGGGCCCGCCCCGAGATTTATGGCCGCAGTCGGCCCCCTGCGCACCAAGCGCGTCTCCGTCCTCTCCTAGCCAAACAGTGGAGTGGAGGACCCGACCCCGGCTGGAGGAAGAGGCCAGGGCCGGAGGCGGGGCCGAGAGGAGCTGGAATCCATCGGGGCTGGGCCTGGCGCATCAGTCCCAATTCTGCCCGCCTTGCGCCCTCGTCTCGATAGGGTGTGGGGCGCCGGCGCCGCGTCCCTGGTCTTCCAGGCAGGTCCGGGCAGCTCCCGGCTGGGTTGGCCTGACCTCGACTTGGTGCTATACTGCAGCTGGGCCTGTCGCAGCGAGGGGACGGCGAATGTGGCTTTCCCGCTTTCCCGGGCACAGCCTCTCTGGATTTTAGCCGCGCCCGCCAGACACGGCAACTGTGGAAACAAGCGCTTAAGATACCCGGCCACACACGGCCTCTGAGAGGGCGGCAGAAGCCAGCGATCCCTCGGGGTCCCCTTCACCGAGGTGCCAGCGGAGACTGGGGCTTCGGTCACCACCTGGAAAAGGGGCTGGGGCAACCGGCGGAGTGGCTCGGGTGCCGAGCCAACGAAAGGATACCGGCTTTTTTCCCCCTCTGAGGGGGATAAGGGGAGACCGGGTCCGAGCGGCCAGCAACACCAGGATTCGGGAAGAACCGGTGTTCAACGCTGAACTGGGAGACGCTGTGTAATCGCGGGAGTTGTACCAGCCCGGTGCGGGGGCACCGAGCCTGCGCCAACTAAAGCGCGACAGGGGAGACGGCCGGGCTCAAGGTTGGCCTGTCCTTTGGTTTTAAAACAAAGAGGGAGAATTTTGTCAGGTGGGACGCGTCCAGGGAACGGGCGGCCTCGGAACACGGGAAAGGCCTCCACTCGTTACCCAGACTGGCCGCGGAGAAGCGCGCTGGGCCAGGCCTCGGCTACACTGGGCAGATTCTCCCGCAACTGCGGTTTGGGGTTACAAGGAAGAACCCCCCCACCCACAGCCGATTTTCCACCCACTCGGTACAACACACACACACACACACACACACACGTTTTTGGCCACACACACACACACACACGAGTTTTTGGCCACCTATCCCGCTAGGTAAACAAAAGTATGAGGGGGTGGGGTGGGGGAGGGGATGGAATGGGGGTGGGGCGCAGAAGATGGAGGCTGGCCCTGTATGCCTTTGGCCTGTGCCCTATGGCCATGGCGCCTAGGCCTGGTTTTTACATTTCAATGTTGCTCGCCATACTGGGGAGGGCGTTTTCCTGTACCCTGCAGCCTGGTTAGGGATGTCCCAGAGGCTCCTTTCCACGAATGGGGGAGCCCAGACTGCACCCACTACTTCGCTTGGGATCGGTCCTCCGCCCCAAGATGGCTCCCAGTCGCTGTTTACTCAGCGGCTACGGGGACACCAGGGCGCGGGGCCGGGGAACGGGCGAAGATCAGGGCGCATACAGATTGGCCCGGGCAGGCGGCCCCTCTGCGTGGCCCGTCCGCGCCCCCATGCACGCGGCAGCCCTGGAGAACCAGCAGGGGCAGGATGTGTCCCGGGCGCCCCGCCCGGCGGCCAGGAGCTGGGAGCCACCGCCACCACTGTGTCTCCAGGCCCTGCGCCCCGGCCGGCCGGGCTCCGGTGGCTGCAGGGCCGCCCAACTGTGGAGAGGGTGCGGGGGGGGGGGGGGCGCGAGAGGCCTGGGAGCACAAAGCCCAGGCAGTGAGGGGGCCTCCTCGGCCTCGAACCGCGGTCCTAATGAAATACTGGCTGGGTCTGTCACGCCGCCGAGGCGCACACTTGAAAAATGCAAACGCCATTGGCAAATCCAGGGCAAACAGGCAGAATTTTTTATTAGCAACTAAATGATTTATGGCACACATACCCCGCCGTCACAATTTCGGCGTCTTGGAGCATCCAAGGGTTTGTGAAAACATTAAACATTTATAAAAATAGGCCTTTGTTTTTTTCTACTCTGCAAGCCTCTTGTTTTCCCCAACCCAACTCTCTCAAGATAAGTATATATTTTTTTTCCTTGAGCAATACTAAAACAGTCCCCAAATCCAGAGCGGGGTAATGGGGTGGGGAATTAGGGTCTGGGCTGGGGATCTTGGTGGGTAAAGAGGGTGGGGAGAAAGCGATGGGGTCTTGGGCGTGGGAGGGCTTACTAGGAACACACAAGACCTCTGTGTAAGGCTCAAGGGCGCTCGGCGGCCCCCACACACGGCCCCCTTCCCCGGCCTGGACTTCCAGCAGCCCCGCACAGCTCGACTGCGTTTATTCGATTCCTGCAGTCCCCTCCTCCCCTAAGGCACACAGACACAATACCTCCTTTCTCTAACCCCCCTCTCCTCTCCGTCTTTGCTTCTGGCCGTCCCGGGGATGCACCGGGCGCCTCCCGCTGCCCCGAATGCCGAGGCCGCCACTGAGACCCGCACGCCCAGCTCCAAACGCGGACACCGTGGCTTGTTCCCCTCAGCTCCGGCTATTTTCGTTCCTTTCTTTCCTTCTCACTCCTCCCTCCTCCCCCAGCGAAGCTCCAGCTTCCAAAAGAGGGCAGCCTAGAAACCAACGCAGGAAGCTCCAGGAAGGGCAACTTGAAACTGCCCTCAAGAGGCTGAACTTTTTTCCTCAAATTTATCCTGGAATTAAATTAGACACCCCCAGTTCGTTCTCGAAGCCTCCCCCACTTTTTTTTCTAAAAGTGGAGAAAAGAAAATAGAACGAATGGGCACTCTCGCTCATTCGCCACCCCCCCCCCCCGAAAAGTTGCCTTAAAAATTGATTTGAAAAAAAACAGAACAGGCAATTCGAAAACGCTGAGTCCGCAGCGCGGGGCGAAAGAGCGGGCTTCTCTTATTTTAATTAAAATCTTATCACCGCAGTTGCTCTCCGAGGTAGGAGCGGAAGGACTTCTGCCCCTCCAAGCTTCCTTTCCAGGGTACGTAATGCCTAGCTGGGCTCCGGGGCCTGCACAGGGCTGCGGAGAGAGGGTGCGGGGGGGGCCCCCCAGGACATTCCTGCTGGCGTGGTCCTCACTCCCTGCGCCCCCGGTCAGGTAGGTCGGCCGCGGGCAGCTCACAGCTACACAACCCAGAAAGGATTTTGCTGAAAGCGCAAAATAAAAGTACAAAGTCTGGGGGGATTGGGGCTCCCCTCTCCCCTCCCCCTACGGCCGCCGTGGCCAGCCAAGCACTTTTTGGGCTTGGCGGCTGCTTCCTCTGAGCTCAACAGATTTTTTTTTTCCCGGTCTCGCCCTCCCTGGAGGGGGCGCGGCGGATGGAAGGCGAGAGAAGCCCCCAGCCAAGAGATTTTTAATATTACACTTTAATAGGTTTCAGAAGGCTCCGTGGAGAAATGCTAATAGGCTGAAATGTCAGAATCGAGAGGGATTCAGTTCGCGCTCAGCCGATCTAATCCTTCTTTCTGCTCTGATTTTTTGTTGGTGGGGGGAGAGGGGAGCACCCACGTAAAGAGGGGCTTTGGGGAGGGGCGCACGGTGCGAAGCGCTGCAGCCCGGGCCTGGGCCGTGCGGGGGGCGCGCCCGGGTCCGCGTTTCTATAGGAACCCCCTTTAGAAGATTAGAGACTCACCCGCTGCCCGCCGCCGCGGCCTCTCCAAAATATTAATCAGTAACCATCTGACACTGCGTTTCAGGGAGGGACCCGCAGGCCAGAGCTAGGAAAACGGCCTTCTCGCTTGCCCATCCCACCCGACCGCGCTGCTGGGGTAGAGGGAATGAATCGCTGCTTTGTATTAAAAGGAAGAAAAAAAACGGGAAAAAGCAGCCCTTGTCTGTTTTGGCGTCTCCACTGCGCGTACTAGAAGCGCACCCTAGGGGAGGCGGGGGACCGGGGCCCGGGGCCGGGGTGCAGCCCGCCGGGCCCCCAGGCGCTCCCCGGCTCGCTTGGCTTGTCACCTCCTCCTGCGAGCAGGAAGCTGACAGGCGGCCCATTAAACCGCGCCTTGCAAAGCGCTGGATTGCGGCGACAACCATCTTCCTCTATTTTGATCACTCAGCCCAGACGCTGGGGGAGGGGGACGAGGAAAAGGGAGGAGAAGGAGAAAGGGGGGGGTCCGCGCTGGTGGATGGGGAGGGCTGCCTAGAAACAGCCCGGAAAAATTCTCACCACCAGTTTTGATCATTCAGCCCCGCCGAGGGGAGCCTGGAAACTGCTGCAGCCCCTAGGTCCGTAATTGGTTTTATAGGAATGGCTGTGGGCCAAGGTGTTTACATGAGCGTGATTGGCGGCGCACGCGGCCAATGCGCGGCGGCCAGGGGCCGGGCTGGGGGGGGGGCGGACGCCCGGGAACAATGCGTGTTTCTTTGCCGGAGAGTGCTCCCCTCCCCCAACTCCCTCCAATTCCCCCCCCCCCCTTTTTTTTTTTTTTTTTTTTTTTTTTTTTTTTAGATCCAGCGAGAGGAACTTGAAAGGGGGGTTGTGTAATGTACCTTTTCCAATCCCGGGCTGTATATGGAGATTTGGGATTCTTTAAACCGGCGCTACCTGGATTTTATTAAAAAGCGGGGAGCTCGGCGGGAGAAAAGCTGGCTTTTCCGGGGGCTGCGGGAGCCGGGCCGCGGGAGGGCGGAGGAGTAGGCGCGCCGAGCGCTCGGCCCGGGGAGCGGTTTTCTACCAAAAAAAGGAAAGCCGGGCAAAAAGTGTGAGGCGGCTGCGGGTGGCGGAGGGGAGCGGCGGCCGCGGGATGGCGGGCAGCACGGGCGCCTAGCCGCGCCGGTAGCCGGGGCCGCCGCCGGAGTCGCTGTCGCCGGAGCCCGAAGCCGGGAACCCAGCCGCGCCAGGTACGCCGCCGGTCAGCCTGCGGGCCCCCGGCCGGGTGCGATGGTCTCCAAACTTCTCCAGCTCGCCCCCCAACCACGCCTGCCCCTCAGGGTGCGCGGGGGAGATCCCCGCTACTGTGCGGCTCCCGATTACAGAATCGGGGACCAGGGCCGGCTGGGAGGGGGCGCCCCGGGAGGGATGGGGGCGGGCTGCTGCGCCCTGGGCGCCCACACGAGCCCCTAGCCCCACTCCGCATCGCCTGGCCCGGCCGAGGGGCGGCGGTTCCTCTCTCGGTTCCCAGTAGGCGGCGGGGGAGCCCGGGACGCCGAGACGTTTTCGATTATAGGCTGTTTTTAATTAAAAGCCGGAATTCAGCCATTTTAACTGCATTTAAGAGGGGAGAAAAGTAGGGAGAACGCAGCGGAGCCCGCAGATGGCCGAGGCAGCTTCTTTGCCAGAGCGAGGGTGTTCCAGGGGGCTTCACCCCGACTTCCCCAAACTGGGGCGCCTGGGCATGCCTCGAGGCTCTGGCTTTTAAAAGAAAGCTACCGAAAGAATCTCTGATTTAAAAAAAAAATCACGGAAAGCTCATCGCCTCCTTAAGACATGTATCCTCGGATGTGGCGATCTTAGATTTTTCCAAAGTAAACGCGGATCTGGTAACCAGAACCTGAGGGGAGAGAGCGAGCGAGGGAGGGAGGGAGAGGGTGTTTATAAGCAAAACCAGGTTAAAATAGGCACCCTTAGCAAAGTTGGGGAGGGAGGCTGGAGAGGAAGGCCGGCGGGTTTGGCCAGGGTTTTGCAGCCGAGGGCGTCTGCTGCTCCGGGGGCTTGGGCGCGGAGTGCGGGGAGCGGAGTGCAGGGCGCCGAACGGGCACCCGGGAGCCGATGGCTTTGGCTTGATCGGCGGCTCTGAGAGCGCCCAGGCCTCCCGGAATCAGGAATGTGAGCTGCTGCAGGCAGACAGAGATCGAGGGAAGGAAGGATGGGCTCGGAGACCCCCTCCCATTCCCAGGAGAATCGGCAAACGACAAATCTTTTAAACAAACAGCTTTAAACTGGAACTACAGGGGGATTTACCCAACGGTGGGGGAGGCGCCCCTTGGCCGGCCCGCGCGGCAAAGGTTTTCTTTGTAGGTTATTGGGGGGGGGTGGGTAAGGGGGAAGCTAGAGTAGGAGTGAGACCCTTGATCCCTTTCCTTACCCTCTTGACATCCCCCAGATCCCCCACGCCAGGCCACGTCCTCGGCCTGCAGGATCTCAGGCCAGGGCGTTGGAAAATGAAACCAAAGCTTGTTTTGTAGGATTCTTTCCAGTCCTCAGGCGAGAATGCCACGTCTCGGGTCCTCAGACTCGAGCTCTGGGACTCACAGTGTCCCGGGGGGGAGAAGCGGGGGACCACTGGCCTCTTTAAAAATAATAAGCCCGCTTTGGACCCTCCCTCCTCCCACCCCCAGAAAAACACCATTCCGTCAGCGGTTCAAGGCGAGCTCAGGAAAAACCAAACTCGGAAAAGGGAGGCGAGGTCTCCAAAAGGTTAAATATTAAACTTTGTGGATTAGATAGTGCCAGAGTGTTTAGGGAGACACTTCGGCTAGCTCGTGGAAAGGCTTCAGGGTTTTAAACCCCGGAGCCTTTGACGCCCAGGAATATAATACACTTAAGAGGTTTGTATTTACGCTGTCCGGGCGCAGCCGAGGAGCCCTTCCCGGTTTCGGGAGGACCCGGCAGCCGCTGAGGCAGAGTCCGGGCTGGGGCGCAGCACGTCGCTGCGGGTCACTTTTCCGAGCCAGGTCCTGGGAGTCTGAAGCCGCCTGGGGAAGGAGCATGGATTTTTACTTTTGACTGAAAAGGGGCTGCTCCCAATTTCATTTCTAGCCACTCGGTCCGCAATCCCCGATCCAAAAGGGCTAGGCGACTTTCTGAAACTTGTTACTTTATTGTTTTTTTCTTTCTCCGCTTCTATTTCTTCCGCGGCCCGTCTCCTCCCCGTCAAGACGCCGTGTGTGCCGCCTTGCACAGCTCTGCCTGGCCGTCCGGAGGGGCCTCACCGCCAGCCGCCTGTGCGCCCGGGGCCGCCGGCCCGCCACCGAGCGCAAGCCCCGCTGGCCGCCGCCATGCACGCCGCGGAGCCCCCGCCGCCCGAGGACTCTGGGACTACGCCGAGGCCGAACTTTTAGGTCCCACTGAGCAAGGCCTGCGGGCCGAGTGGGGGTCTGGCCGCGGCACTCCCGCGGAGGATGGATGGCCGAGACTTCGGGCCCCAGCGGTCCGTGCACGGTCCCCCGCCGCCTCTGCTCTCCGGCCTGGCCATGGACAGCCACCGCGTGGGCGCGGCCACTGCCGGACGCTTGCCTGCCTCGGGCTTGCCCGGCCCGCTGCCGCCCGGGAAGTACATGGCCGGCCTGAACCTCCATCCGCACCCGGGTAAGTGCCCCGCGCGGTGCCCGCCCCCTTCCTGTCTTCCCGGGAAGATCCATTCGGCAGGGTCTTTCTGCGCACTCGCGGCCGGGGCTCAGCTCTTCTCCTTCGGCTGGCCGCAGGGGCCCGGGCGGACTCAACGCCCAGAGCGGGGTAACTCCTGGCCTTGGAGCCAAGGCCAATCCGGCGGCGGAGAGGGGCGCGCGGCTCGGCTGCGTTTTCCTCGGAGCGCCTGGCCTTCGTAAGCCGAAAGCGGGTGCCGTAACCGGAGCCACTGGGGGCGATTCCAATTCCCGGGGGCCCCGGCGGCACGAGCCTGGGCTGGAGTTTTCAAAATCTGGGCAAGAAAAGAACAAACCGGCCCCCGCACCCCGTGAGACACCCGCTCTCAGAGCTCGAATCTTTTTCTTGGCACATGCCCCTGTTGGCGCCCGTGGGCCCTGGGTTCTGTTCTCAGCTCTACCACCCGTGCCGAACCGGATCCCTGGCAGCTCCCGGGCGCCGGGGGATGCGGGAGGACGGTGACCCCAACCCTGGGACCCTGGTTTCGGGGCGGGTGGGTTGCCCCTTTTTTCCCTGGGAGAACAGCAGCCCTGGGAACCTGTACCCTGGTAGGAGGGCGGTGACCTCGGTCCTCGGGTACCCCTTGTTCTCTGGCGGGAAAGAGGGTGCGGAGGCGCGGCATGGACGCCGAAACGGGGCCACCGTGGTCCCGAACCCAGGGGGAAGGGAGAGAGTGGGTCGGGCCAGGCCCGGGCGGCGGAGGGAAACCCTGTGTCTCACATGGAGTCGTGGGAGAAGGTGGCCAAGAAGGCCCTGTGGCGTCCGCCATTTCCCGAGAGGGGCTGCCTGGGCGCGGTGGGGACGTTTCCCGGGCGGGCGCCGCACCGGGGCGGGAGACTCTTGCTCCGGTCTGTCCGCGGTCGCTGCAGCCGGGCGGGGCAAGTAGGAGACTCAGGGACCTTCAGACCTGCCCAGCAGCCGCCCCAGGACACCCGGTCCCCTCCTCCTCAGGCTGCCCCTGGCTTTTGTGCTGGGCGTCCCGTCTCGACTTGAAAAATCCATCTCCCCTTCTCCCAATTGCAATTTTGGGTTTTTGTGAATTCAGAGGAGCCCCCCCCCCCACCGCCACACTCCCCTTCTTCTTGAGGGTCTTGCAGGAGACACCCTCGGCCCGGAGCTGGTGCTTCGGCCTTGCCCCGCCCGCTTGGCGGAGCTCACGGATTTTGCCTCTCTTTGATTTTTCTCCTGGAACTTTTCAGGAACTGGAGTCCCCGGGGCTTGGAGGGACAAAGGGCCTTTGTGAGGCACCACGCGGGGGAGGGGCGCGCCCCGGGGCCTGGAGCGTGGAGATCCCCGCCGGCCGCGGACTGGGGCAAGAGAACCAGGTCTTGGCCCCGGGACCTGCTTGTTGTGCTCCTTCGGAGCTAGGGGCTCATTCCGCCCAGGCTCTGCGACCAGGGCAAGGGTTTGTTCCCGAGTGGTGTGTTGTGGCGAGGGAGGGGTGCGGGGGACCCCCGAGGAAGAAGTTGGAGGCGGCCCTGGGTTAGAGTGTGTCCGAGCTGTCCCTTTTTGCGCTTCCCACAAGTCCACCGTGATGTGTGTGTGCGCACGTGTGTCTGGGTCATTTGGTCCAGCCCAGGATGGTGGTGGCGGGCCCCTCAAGCCTGGGAATCGGAGCCTGGGTCTCCCTGGCTGGCTGAGCCTGTGCTTGGTTTTTGCGAGGCTGGGAAGGGGCGTCGTGCACTCCCTGCCTGGGATCTGGCTCCGGCCTGGCAAGGCAAAGTGCCCTAATGTGAAGCGGTGTAAACAGCCACTACTCATGCAAGCCTGCACCGTGCCAGGGCCGCGCCTAATCTGACGCAGCAGTCAGACGGCCTATTGCCCATTTGCTGGATGGGGAGGCTGAGGTAGGGGGAAGGCCAAGCCCTCAGCCTCGGAAGCCCAGCAGGAGGTAGCCTTGGAGCCTGGCCTGTCTGCACCTTCTGTGCTTGCTTAGAGCTGTTTGACTTCGGCCAGCCGCCCCCTGAGCCCCGTGCTCACCTGGGAGGGAAAGGTGGGGGCCAGTGCGCTTCTGGCTGCCCTCCTCCCCCACTTCAAGTGGCTGCTTGGGAGACCTCGGACCCCAGGCCAACGCCCAGAGCCAAGCCTCTGCTAATCCCATTAGCCACGAGGTGGGAGCTGCTCCCATTCACTCTCTGCTTAGGGCTGGGCCGGATTACACATTCCTCAGCCCAGCACACCCTTCTCTTCCCGGGTTTTCTTTGTGGGGTGCAGGTGTTAAATTTTCTCTTCTTACGCACCTCCCTCTCTTCCTTGGCTGTCGCCACCTTAGGTCTTGCTAGCGTTATCAGTCCCATCTTTATTTGTTTATTTTTGTACCGGGAAGTCCTGAGAGGTTGAGCCACTTGCTTGGGGTCACCAGCTAGGAAGAGGCACACTACCATTGGGCTCTGCAGAGGTGGATGAGCCCTGCCAGGGCTTATTAAAGCCCCTCCTCGGCCGAGGGAGGTTCCCTGGAGAGAGCTCAGAGCTGGAGGGGCCCTCGGAGAAAGATCCCCGGGAGGAATCCCATCCAAGCTAGTATTGACAGCCATCTGCTGAGGAGGGTCTCCTGGAAGAGCTGGTTTTTACCTTATTGGTCAAGACAGAGGGATTTGGCCTCTTCCTCTTTGGATTTGGCCTCTTCCTCTGCAGAAGAGGAGGTGAACTCGAGAATGAATGGGGTTAGGGATCAGGAAAGGGTGGTTTTAAAGTTTCCTATTAGAGTCTTGCTACATTGTGAGCAAAACAGTCACAGCCTGATCCGGGAAATGGACATGTAACTGACAGGCACCTGGGGCTTGGCTCTGCTCTAGGGTTGGGAGGCCTGGACTCAGTGTCCTCACAGGCTGCAATTAAAGAGCTATTAGTAAGATTTTGTACTTGGATGTTTATTCTCCCTGCCCTCACACCCTAGGCTGGCCCTGGGAGGGTACATGAATAGAGGGTAGGACCCAGGGATCTGGGTGGGGAGGCCCTGCACTCTGGCCTGGCCAGCGGTCAACAGGGGGCCTTCTCCAGGGTCTGATCAGATCCATCTCTGGAATCCAGTTTGTCAGCATACTGGGATTGATTTAGAAAGATTTATCAGTGAGGACCGCTGGCAAAGTGATAGATAAGGACAATTTACAAGGGGCTTCTTTCTCTGGTCAGAGGTGACAAGGGAGGCCCTGGGAGAGTTCTGGAATCTGGAAGGGCCTCTGGGGGGTGGGGGGGCTGTCTCTCGTGGTTCTTCAGCTCCTAACCCCAGCGCTTTCCTTCTTTCCTCACTTGCTCATTAACTCAGCAAATAATTTCCAAGTGCTTCCTGCGTGCCAGGCACTGCTCGCATCCCAGGAATGCGGCAGTGAACCCAACCAACAGAAATCTCTGCCCTCATTGGAGCTCACGTTCTTCTGGGGAGTCAGGGGCAGTGAACACACAAATCTGAGACGGAAATTTTTTTTTTTTTTTTTTGAGCTAGGGTCTCACTCTGTCACCCAGGCTGAAGTGCAGTGGTATGATCTCGGCTCACTGCAACCTCTGCCTCCCAGGCCTGGTCCATCCTCCCACCTCAGCCTCCCAAGTAGCTAGGACTATAGGCATGTGCCACTATGCCCTGCCAACTTTTTGTATTTTTAGTAGAGATAGGGTCTTGCTATGTTGCCCAGGCTGGTCTTGAACTCCTGGGCTCAAGTGATCCTCCTGTCTTGGCCTCCCAAAGTGCTGGGATTACAGGCATGCCCCACTGTGCCCAGTTGATTTTGTTACTTTTAAATTTTATTTATTTTTAAGACACAGAGTTTTACTCTGTTGCCCAGACTGGAGTGCAGTGGTGCAATTATTTCTTATTGCAGCCTCAAACTCCTGTAGGAGCTTTGAGCTCTTCCTGCCTTGGCCTTTTGAGTAGCTAGGACTGTAGGCATG